GAAATGATGTCAAGTAACAGGATAATTCGAACTCGCAGGGCACCTACTGTATGTTTGCATGGGGCGGCCGACTGGTGGTTCGACAGTCAGACAGTAATAGTTCCTCCATAATGCGAGCTCTATGGCACTTCCCGGCCTATAGGTGGTTCCCATAACGCCAGCCGTCACACATGTTGTTGTTGTTGATTAAAATACTGGTGAAATGTTTGTTCCGGACCAGAGGGTATGATGGTACTCCTAAGTACGGAGCTGTCCATTTCAGCCTCCTACGCTCTCCCAGCCTGCGTTCTTTTGACTATATCTCTACACCGGACCCAGGTCAGGATGGGGAAGTGACGCGATAGATGCTACAAGACTCATCGTTATCTATCAAAGAAGTCACGTAAGGTCACTGCGTCTGCTCGGGGGTTCACGGTAGACGTGGTCTTTCACGCAGTTTGAACTGGTGTATGGAAACTACAGTAGGTGGGCTTACTCATATAATTTCAAGGGAAATTCCGAAATGCGTTATCATTTATAAAAGACTAATCAAGTATGCTTGTAAAAATAGTCGGCCTTCAATATACTTCTCTAGTATTTCAATTACCTCAGGATGTCGGCTTTCGAATAAACGCCTTTGCGACTGCATGCAAAACGATAACGCATTTCGCAATTTTGGTTGGCATTTCATGAGTTAGCCCACTTACTGCAAGCAGTGAAATGCACCCATGATTAGCAGTACCGTGTGGGCAATCGAGTGAGGCATTGGGCGAGATTTTCCGGGCCACCTGAACGATTATCAGCACTGCCTGCGTAATGACCTGGTTACCTGCCATAGACAATCATGTGAATATACGGCTAGGTGATGTGGGACGACTTATACTCTCACGAAGCTACATCTAGTGTTTTACAGATAATGTGGAATGTTCGGACACAATTGAGAATATTTCTATCCATCTTCTGCTGTTTGTGGGGTAGCATGTCGGGTGACGCGAAGACATTTCAACGAAACGGTCATAGTGTGCACTTAGTGTCGCCTGACGTTTTCAAATGTCTTTTCGATAAGACGATTTTAGGATGAAGTTGGAGTAATGATTATCTGAAGTTTTAATGCTAATACCGTCCAATTACGCCAGGATGCCTACATTTAAGACTTTTTTGTCTAATATGCACAATGTTTCCACTACAAAATTATTCCTAAGCTTTCACCTATTTTTCCTCACGAATTTTCGATGCTTTAATAGATTTAAATGCATTTTAGGAAAAATGTCCTAAAGATTATTTCTTGGGCTTATTTAATAGGACCCCACCTATTCTTTTATTTGTACTGAGAAAAAAGGCTTCTTACGGTCTTCGAAAGTCCGAACTTGTGTGCTATTTAGAAACGTGAACCATGCATTAACAACTCGTATATCTTTATTTATTAACGCCCTTTATGAGATATAGAACACATTTCACATCCATTAAAAAAGTACATACATCGTATGTGATAATTTCTCGGTGGCATATAAGAGCTCGTCCTTTCCGAATAATGAAAAATACCGACAATGGACCGTAAACCCTTAAAGTAGAATAGGAGTAATGATAAGAGTCGGAAATAATTTAAAATTTAAAAGTTCTCAAAACGCTAAAGACACCGTTTTTTCCAGCAACTGGTTTTTAGAAGACATGATTTTTCCGTTAAATAGCGATTAACAAGTCCAATATTGCACTTTTTTCCTATCGGACACATTTTCCTCTAGCACTGCATTAAACTTCAGTAGAAGATACTGTTATTAAGATTATTTCCCTTTTGTCAAACGCGGTTTTGCCATCGGCCAAAGAGATAGATTCATTGAAACATTGCCATCCTGGCTTGACTGAGATACGTTACAATTATTATGCACAGTACTCGAAAAGACATCACCAAATTAGTCCTTACAAAACAAAAATGTTTTTTTTGTATTTTCCGTTATAATTTTTTGTGAGTAAGCGAGGGAGGAGAGAACGAGAAACGTGCAAAAACGAGGAAGAGGAATGAGGAGGTGCAAGGGGAGAAGGAACACTATCAGCAACATATCTGGCAATTAAATGACAGCAGGAAACGCCAGCAAGCGAGGTTTGGCACATCAACTAGATAAGAAGTCTTCAATCAAGGAAGTGGTTGAGCCAAAGATTACATTATCTAAATAGATCCGTAGCACGAAATGACCTCTGACGAATAGATTGATAAGTTCAGTGGCCTATACGATGGCAAATATTGACCAGATGACCCGTGGAAAGAGTACAATGTTTGAGGTGGACTGCCACGGCAGATGTAGTGTAACTAAGCATACACAATGTTACACTCTTCTCCAATGCTGCCAGTCTTTTGCCATTATGGCGATTGAGCCAAGCTGTTTGAAGAGGATACACGCAGTAAGCGTGTGGACAGTTTACGGGTGTTGACGATCTGTATTGAAATATTAAAATCTCCCATTACGAAGACGCTATTGCTAAACGGGGGTTTTTAGTTAATGAATTGGGACAACCGATGACATTAAGTAGTTAGATATAAATCATGCGGTTTTCAACATAATGACAACAAAATTGTAAACAAAATAATAAGATCACGGGTAAGGGGCGCTCACCCATCGTTAACGCCCACTTTTGAAAGCAAAACACGCACGTAGGCGACGACAGTCAAATTCGGCGTATGACTACGCTAGGTAAAATCAGCAATCCCCGGGTAGTCAGGGCAGTCTACGGGTTTTAACCAACTTGAGGGGAATATTCTAAATATTTTATATCAGAAATCAAAACACACTTGTCTACTGGGTAACTATCCCCCTTTGTCTCTGACAGATGGCCCTTGGACAACAATTGTGAATACTTTAACCGAATACGGTGCGTACTGTACTGCCGATCTTATATAATGCGAACCATTAGAAGGTCATATTGTGAACGTCACACTAACTGAAATTTATTTAGCACGGTCTTGACGACCGTGATTGTAAATGGCATTACTTGGGTAGAGAGCGCGGCATCTATAGTGGGCGATCGTTTGCCGGTGACAGTGTGGTGTTATGGGGAGTAGCATTCTGCACATAAACTTAGGCTTAATGCTGTCACGGCAAATGCGGTGTAACCAGTCATTCACACGGTTACAGTCTCCTCAACTGCAACTAGTTGATTTCCATTATGGCGGTTGAGTCAAGATGTTTCAAAAGAACACCAATAGAGAGCACATAGGGGTTATAAGAAACAGCCATTTGGACACACCTACCTGGCACTCTCTCTGGCCCATTAGTGAAAAAGTTGTGAAAGTCTGGAAACTACCTTTAATCACGCCTACCAATTAATTGATCAACCGATGCAGGCTATGGAACAAACGTGGATGTCCTTGCTTATTTGGAAGGATAAGCGTATGCCTAAGAAACTGAATAAGCGTATTGTTAGCGTTCTGAAGTGGAACTGACGTTATGTGCTTTTAGATGTTTAGACATTGAGGCCAAAATATGAGTAGCCGCAAAATTGTGGATCAGTGATCTTCTGACCGTCATTTTGTTGGCTGTATATTAAATTATTTTGTGGCAAAACTACGTTCTCTATGAAGGATTTCACTTTGTAATCTACCACGGAGAAAACGCGGTCGCTGAACGGCAGTTTGTTGAGGAAGCATTCGGACAGCTGATAGTATTAAATAGTAGGACGTGGCATATATGACTTTCAGCGGGTATCCAAAGTTGAAGATTCAGCAGCCAAAGTCGGCGTATGAATACGCTTGGTGCATTTCAGAAACTCCGAGTTGTGAGGGAAGTCTACAAATGTCGCTGGATTGGAGGGGAATATTCCAAATATTTGTATTATCAGGAATCAATTCACACTTACATATTAGATAGCTTATCTTCATTTATTCTCATAGGGGGCCCTCGAAAGACAGCTGAGGATGCTTCAACGGAATATGGTACGTACTGCACTGCCGGTCTCATTTACTGTGAACCATTAGGAGACAGCATGCTAATTGACATTCCGCTTTACTAAAGATGACGATATAGATGACTATCTCAAGGAGGAAGACATGTGTAAGTTAAAGGTTTCTGGCCAAAAAGTGATATTCGGTATTCGACTGTTTATTTAAACCTTGGCTTTACCTGTGTCAGACAACTTTATTGTTAGTTACTTAAACTCTTTCTGTGAAGCCACAGCTTTTTTCCTTTAGGGCGCTTTAAAATCCCGCCATCCGAAATCGGATCAATGAATTGTTCACGTACGTGCTTCACATATTACCTACCTCCTTAATGTTCGTAGAACTTGTTCTTAAATAGGTACGGAGATAAATTAGAGGCAATTTGTAGTTTTCGATGTGGATGGCCATGCAGATGAACGCTCATGTGCAAGTCAAACAAGCGTTTAGAATTGTGTTGTCTTGCTTCGTTGAACACCTTTACCGCGGCGGCATTCATCCCGTGCATGCTTACACCTTCTGCTGTCCAGATCAACCAGATGGCAATCAGTAAATGAACCGCGACGAGTGAGCTAGGGCAATACTGAAGCATCTTACGCAATGCCCATACTTAAGGGAAAATTGCATTTGATTTTTCAGTGAACATATCTACGACTGAAGAACCTTTCACAGGCAAGGAATTTAATATTGTTTGCAATTTTGAACTTTTGAGATTTCTTGGAATTACTTCCTAAAATGCATTTTCTCCTTAACGGAGAGATGAATGAACAGGCTAGATTTCAAGATGGGTACCGTTGTAGATTGAGTCAGATGACAAATTATTGCACAGAGTCCCATTAATAGGTGGTATGACGATTTCGAAAAGTGCACGGTATTTGTGATGTGTAAACTTATGATTAATTAACGTGGATTTCCTAACAATTTTTCAAAATTTTCCTTCCTGCTTTGTGAAGTGAAATGCTGGTTAGCATTTTTTTCAATATTTGTTCCGGATGTCGAGGCAGTCCTGGAAATCGATGTGCGTACTTCCTGCTCACTCGACTTCATCATATTCAATCGAATAAAAGGGTTCATGAAAGTGACAGGAAGGCCTGTCATGTCCCTCATTTTACGACATTTGCCGACATCTTTCCTATTTTCTGCTTTAGTTACACAGACACCCGTAGGTAAGATATGCAGTATTTTCCTCACGTTTATGAGAAGTATATTTTCACGTTGTAACTTTGCTTTAAAATGAGTATGGTCTTCTGTCGTGTGCGCCCTCGAAATGATTATAAACACACTAAAATTGCATAAACTTTGGGTTGGCAAAGGGCTCTGAAAATCAAAAAGATCACTTCATGCACGATTTGTGTGAATTGCTACCGTATAGACACGTACACTATGATAATTTATATCTAATCAGTTAACCTGGTCGTCGACTGAACTAATTCGGTTGTTAACTGGATGGTCGGGATTCACCAAGGGTTCGTCGTGATGAAACGACCTGCGCTGCTGATACACCTATTCGTATAATGTGTTGGCTTGCCAGTGCAGTTTTTTGCCTATTGAGTATATGGATATAGGCGCTGGATACCGGTTGAAAGCCACTATCTGCAGATTAACTATCTAGTCTAAGGCAAGGCTGCCTCCTGAGGACATGTTAGGCACAATTTACTGCGTAAACTACCTAAACTGTCAGGGTAACTACTGCGGCCTGACCAAAAAACGACTAAAAAGGCAGATGCATGACCACAACTTAGCTGTAAAACAAAAAGATAAACGCTTACACATCGCTATGCACAGTCTGGAATTACCATTAATCTGACTTTGGCGGTGCTTAAATGATCGGCCGGGCGGAAAACAGGCAAATATTCGAAGTCTGGTAAACAGACGACAACTCCATCAACCGCAGCGACGGTCAACCGGCGCCATACGAGGCCAGCAGCCACCACTTAAGTGACACAGAAGGCTCACTGAAGATAGTGCTTGATGGCCCTATCAGGGGTGAACGAGAAGGACCCATTTGTACCGTGTGGTCCTCATAGTTCCCATCTCCGATGATGCGCTCGATTATGCGTATGAAACGTCAGAAAAATAAATCATCATCCTAGAGCTTGCCTTATCATCTCCTTTTTCAATATATATACATATAAATCAAGGCGATGCTTAAGGAGAAATTTGATTGCGCAGATGTGCCAAAGTAGTGTTTTTGCAAATAACTGGGGAGAATCCTGTCAGTGTATCTCCTGAGTTAAGGCAGAACCACACAGACATTCGTGCGATCCTTAACAAAAAAGTCTTTGCTTTTGAGAAAGCAAGCGCTGTGCAGGGCGGAAAGGGTCTAACAAAAGCACGGCTGGGTTTCGATTCTGACACGCCAATTCTTCAATCAAAAGAAAATCAAAATTTTGCGCTTGAAGTAATCCCGACCATGTTTATCAACTCATTTTTCAAAAATGGCTTGCAGCAAAAGGAATAATACACGGATAGAGTGAACATAGCCAAAGCGTGTACTTCATTTTTGCTTTTATACTCAACTATTCTCTGCCAGTGATGGACGTCCTTTTAATAAGTTATGACTGCTGAAATTTATCCCAATTGAAAGAAAATATTGCTGCAGCTTGATTAGATCTAACTATGATACAATACCGTGATGCAATATGGAAATTTAAAAAAAAACTTCACCTGAGAATTTATATTAGTTGTTAAAGAGCTTCATGCCTTTCGCTGCGAATACAGTTATTTGACCACTGAAATGCTATCCAGTTTTTGGCTGCCGCAGTCAGGGGAGGGTTGTTTATTTTTTCACATATACTGTAAACCGATTTATGTCGTCATATTTAACGTAGTAATCATACATCTAATCGGATCCTTTTCCGGGAGAGCCCTAACGTTGACCCGGGGGAAGTACAGAACAGCATAATCCCGCTACGTGAAAAGCAGAACTGTGTTCAGTAAAGATGACCTTGTGTCCGCATAAGGCGTTTGCACAGGAGCTAAGGCTCCCCTGGTCAATGGCGAACCCAGTATGAGTGTTCACACCCCCCCTGCCTCGTCGCATTACGGCGGCGAAACAAAACATAGCTAGCTACCAGACACCTTAAACTCCCGATCCAGCTCCTGGCCTCTGAAAACCCTCATCTCTCCCATCATCCATGCGTGCTTTTATTGACTCTTTAACGATATCTACTGTAAGGAAATACAGGATTAGCTTCTCAATGACTGCCACAGTAGACAGTTATTATTGGCATCCCACCCTCGTGAACGTCCACTCGGAAAGAGCCACTGCTTATGTAACCCGAATAATACTTACTTTGCATAAAAGATCGAAGTTTTTCACAAACAGTCTGGAATTGTACTTGTCCCCAATATTTCCCGTCCGTGCGCAATTTATATCTAATGTTCATTAAATACGTCATCATATCTAGACTATAGCGTGAGAATCTTAGACGGCTTACGGAGCGCTTCATTATGAATTGTGCGGGGGTTAAAAACCGCTTCCTTATTGTAACTTTTCCATTAACCGAATTGTTCTATTTCCTCGACGGCAAAGTTCAAAAGAGAAGGGGCATTCCATAAGATAGGTGCATTCACTACTTTATCTGGAACTTTACAATACAGAGCATACAACTACACATTACTTAGGTAATGTGATTTTTAAAAGTGTGTTTCATACAAATGGTTTTGAGACCGCACCATCAGTAATCGTTACGCTAAGATCGTTGTTCTCAAGTATCGTCCTTACCCGTTTTATTCTTACAAACCCACCTTACCCACACCAACAGTTACACGCACGATGTCCCTTGTTCTTAACAACTTTACTTCCAAATTTACAATTTATGCCGTTGATTTTAAGCTTTTAGGAAAGTGAACGATGCAAAGCTTAGCACTGTTCCATGACAATAAGTAGCAGACCTCCCAAAATGTCGGGGGTAAAGGATGTACAGCGTAACATTTCATGACCTCATGAAAGCCACTACTCAGCTAATAAGTAGCACACCTCTAATACTGGGGGATAATTTGTTATGTTGATGTCAGAATGAACGTTGAATATGCGTTTGTTTTTTCTGGAACGCCGTTTTCACTTATTGCTCAGGGTGTACTTGACACTTGCAAATATCGGTGTTCGTATTTAGTTAGATATAAATCGAATTTAAGTCACGGTCCAGCATACAACATTATCAGTAGTCCTGAATTGACGTAAATAAAAAATCCGTAGAATATATTTGGATAATAATCGTCTATATGAAAAATTGTCAAAATTTCAGTCAATTTGTTTTGCATTTTTATTTAGAGTAAAAATTTGATTGGACAGGCATAGATTTGACCTAAAGTGTTAATTTTGAAACGCCTGCCATTTTAACATGAAGCATATTTGCATTGTTATAACTTCAGAAGACGAAAATGATACGTTGGATTTCGATAGTCATGACTGTAAGTTGTTGCGAACCGAGAAGGGCACTTTACAACATAGATACATATACCGTTATTGTCTAAATCCATTATTGTCTCATGTTGCCATTAATAAGGGCGTCTCAGAATACCCCCGGACAAAGAAAGTTTATCAGAATGCAAAAGTACGTTCTTTTCTGTTTACTAGATTTGGAAACAATTTTCAATGTTTCATATAAATGTCTACTATCTACAAAGGTCATTATTTTATATCGTCATTGACATTTTGGTCTAAAAATTTTAACATTTTGTTAAAAAATGAGCTTTAATATGAAAAACTGAACGTGCCTATGCACGGAAGAGCGCCAATCAAAATCTACGACGTGACAGTCTCGGGCACAATTTAAAGATTTCTATACTTTCAGAGATTCCAACATTAGGTTTGTGCGCTAAACATGATTTGAGGCAATCTCTGCAGCCGGGAACTGATCACTGATACTAAATTAACTCGGTGAAATAACGCAGCATTTTCATTTTCATTCGTGACGTAATTAAGTTGTATAAGCGCGTGTCTGCGCATCGGAGAGGTCTACATGCAAGTATTTGAACCCATGTCTGAGGTTTTTCGTGTGAACGCGCAGCAAAAACTGTCGTAGCTGATATTTCAGGTTCGAGTCAAAATTCTACGTGCCCACTGGGATATAATGCCTCCTGAACGTAGCGGATTTGTACGTATCGCCCGCAGTTTACTAACAGGCCCTAAGTAGCGCATGAGTATAAATTTAAATTTACCAACCCTTCGGCTGAATTTGTGTGGGTTCAGCTCAGACACTCGCAAAATATGCGGACCGATTATGAGAAGATTCGCTTGATAACTGTACTCCAAGTTGACAGGTTGAACCTTTAGGAAAATGGTTAACTTAAAGATCAAAACCCAAGGGCGTTTGTGTACAAAAATATACTGGATAGGCGGGTAAACTGATACACCGTAAATGATCACCGGCAATGTAAAAAATCGCTTGTGATTCGTAGTTTGCGTGATTTCAAGGCAATTTGCTTCCAGTTAAACATATCCTTAAGGAAACTTGTTCATGGTTTATCATCGATTCTGCATCATTTAGGAATTTATACGTATGCGAAGGGAAGGAAGTGGCCCATAAGAACATAGGAAATATGTGCCCCAATGGCAAATCAGCTGTCCAGGCGAGAAAGCAGAGAAGACGGCCGCAAAATACATACTTACAGGCAAAAAGCCAAGTGAAATTTAAGAGCGCATATTTAAAAATAAAAATTAGTCTTCGCAACAACGAGTGGCTTATAGGATTCTCCGCAACGATTCAGGATTAGTTATGCTTTATATGCGTAAGACAGAGGTTATAGAAGTCTCTATTCGGTCTGCAGCGCAATTTCAACGAAAAAGCATGAACGTCAGCCTCATCTTAATGACTGCTGGCGTTAATAATTTTCTTAATTTCCGACAAAATACGCGATATGTACACTTATTACTGATAAATACACACATATATATATATGGAACGAGCATGTTCCGTAACCTGATCGGTGAGCGCCCACTATCATAATATATATATATATATATTGAAAACAGGCATCCCAAGAATCATAATTCGAAAGAAATAAGCTCTTGGGGAAGATAAACAAGATTTATTGTAAATTTTCGATCTTGGTTTCCCAAGTCGTCTTCAGACGTGAAGTAAGTGTGCAAAACAGTTAACATTTCAACACGCCGAAAAAATAGATTTAGCCTTGTCACTCCTGCTGGAGTAATGTTCTGATTGGCTAACGCCTTTTCCACTTTTCCATGAGGCTGTTGTACACCGTATCTAATTCCACGTGTCGATTGATGCATGCGCTATCAGAATGGAAATTTAATCTATCCGATGCGAAATACCTAGATTTCCTTGCAAACTTGGAGTCTATAAATTTAGTAGAAAACATTACGGACGATGAACGTTTCACTATCCTGAATAGCGCTGTACATGCCTTAAAGAACCAAAATTCCTTTTCAGTACTATCGCACGAAGAAAGAAAGGCACTAAAAACATTAAAAAGTTACGAAAGCATTATCATACTTCCTGCGGACAAAGGAGGATCAACTGCGATTTTAAACAAAGCAGACTACAACGAAAAGATGTTGTCATTATTAAAGGATAGATCACCCCACAAACTTCTTACCACGGACCCTTCTAAAACGCAGAGTACGGCCATTGAAAAAGTTCTAACACGTCTCACAGGAAAAAAAGCAAATATCAGGAGATATTGCCAAATCCTTATGACAAAGTGAACCAGCCATTGCAAAGATCTATGGACTACCTAAGATTCACAAACCTGAAATACCACTGCGACCGATAGCATCGTTAATCGGTGCACCTAATTACAAGATTTCTAACTGGCTATTCCACAAACTCTATTCGTTGACAAAGGATTGTGAAACATCAATCAATAATTCAACCCAGTTTCTAGACAAATTACAAGGACTGAGAATCGCAGCAGATGAAATAATAGTATCCTTCGATGTCGTTTCTCTGTTCACCTCCATACCATTGGATTTAGCAAGAAAATATACAGAGGAACGTCTCCAGTACTACGATATGGATATCCCTGCATCTGCTTTGTTAGAACTCTTAGACCTTTGTCTAGAAACGAGCTTTTCATTTGCACAGGAAAACTATCAACAGCTGAAGGGAGCCCCTATGGGATCACCCATCTCCGGTTTTCTCGCAGAAATCACGATGCAGAAATAAGAGGCTATCGCCTTACCACAGGTTAACCCCAAATTATGGGTACGATATGTTGATGACACGTTTGTCATTGTTACAAGTGATCAACTGGAAATACTCCACAATATTATAAACCCGACACTTCCAGGAATCACATTCACACTCGAGAAGGAGGCTGACAACAAACTCCCGTTTCTTGATGTCCTCGTAAAGAGAAAGCCTGACCCGACATTTCATACTTCGGTTTACCGCAAAGAAACCTACGCGGAAGTTCTTTTGCATTACGAGAACAATCACCCGATCTCTCACAAACCGAGTGCCGTGAACAGCCTCCTTAACCGAGCAAGAACTCGCTGCACCGACAGCGAAACATATCAAACAGAACTGAAGTATTTGTTCAAACTGTTTTCCCAGAATGGGTATCCTAGATATTTTGTACACCGATGCATGTGACGACAGGAGTTAAAAGAAAAAGAGAAGGAACTAGATTGTTCCGATCAGGCGCCTAAAACAAAAAAACTGGCGAACACTTCCGTACATTAAGAACGTGTCCGAACTAGTTGAAAGACACTTGAGGAAGCACCAAATACATGTGGCGCACAAGCCGACGACTACACTTCGTAACCAGCTTGCACACCCTAAGTATAGGGTTGGCTATTTAGAAAAGAAGGATTCGTCTATAAGATACCATGCAACACCTGTAATGCAGTTTACTGTGGTAAAACTGAGAAATCAGCCTCCACGTGAATACATGAACATCACTTGGCCGTAAAAACGCTCGACCACTTGTCCCAAGTTGCCATGCATACGTTGGAAACGGGAACCGAATTCGCCTGGGACAGGACCCGCATTGTAGGTGTCTGCTCATCCAAAAAGGGCCGTGAATTTTTAGAGACCATCCATTCTGATAGCGCATGCATCAATCGACACGTGGAATTGGATGCGGTGTACAACAGCCTCAAGGAAAAGTGAAAAAGGCGTTAGTTAATCAGAACATTACACCCGCAGGAGTGACAAGGCAAAAATCTATTTTTTCGGCGTGTTGAAATGTTAACTGTTTTGCACACTTACTTCACGTCTGAAGACGACTTGGGGAACCAAGATCGAAACTTTACAATAAAACCTGTTTATCTTTCCCAAAGAGCTTATTTCTTTCGAATATATATATATAGAACAGGGTATTCTGTCACCCTAGCGTACAGGTATCCTCCATCCACAGCGCAGTTGACAGCACTGTCTAGCACACTGACGATAGTCACGATGGAGAATTGCTTACAATGCAGGCCTATGTGGACAGGGCTGAACAAGCCTCAATGTTTTCTCGTTTAGATCATTCCACGGAAATATTTACATCTACGGCACTTGACAATGTGACCACAGCAAGTACGTTATAGGCCAACTTTCCTTTTCATACTTGATGACGTTTGCTTTTACATAATAAAAAATACCTAGTCGCTTACCACCGATGAACATAGGATAACAGGGGAAGAAACACCACTCATAAGGGCAAGGCCAGGTTGTGTGCAATTCAACTCAAATAATCAGCACAATACGGCGAGAGCTAATGTGTAGATAATTAGGCTCGGGCCAGTGCGCAAATGTCATAGGGAATAAGCAGACAGATCGCAGAACGTAGATTTGCGAATATGCAGAATCAGCCGATAGACTGCCGTGAAGTTAATGAAATCACTGTCATCGAAAAACTGCAGAAAGTATGGTCTAAGCTGTGTGAAAACACTGAATGTTCCGAAGACGCACTTCGACGACGTGCAAAAGGATGCGGACGGTGGGTATAGAGAGGCGAAACACTCGAGAAGAATAATGCTGATGCAAGGTCAGAAGCCAACGCTGGAGATTAAGTAGTAATTAAGGTACGATTAAAGCGTTTTTGGAGAGTCACTCAACACCGCCAACAGAGTACATTTGCGCTCAAACTAAGTGTTGCAGCGCAATGTCGGTGGCAAGTAAAAAGTGGTAAGGCAGTAGCATGTTTTGCTTTTGATTTAATCTTTCAAAGCCAAAAAATAACGAGCATTTTAAGTTCTGTATAAATCCTGTTTATGCAACCTTCACAGGGCTTTTCTTTGTTTTTTTTTCATCAGAAACATACATGACTACAGACGAAGGAGAAGAACCAACAACGACTGATTTTACACCTGTCGGTATGACACTGTGCTTGCAACTGAAATACATGTTCACTTACCTCACGCATGTATACTGAGATATCACATAGGCAGGGCAGTAATATTAGTAACCATATAGTATGATCTCATGATAAGTTCATAAGTTTTCGACGCGGGCCTTTAAAGGAACGCATTCACGGCCATCTGCAATAACTACACTGTGTAAAAAATGGATACTTAGCTCGAGGTTTTTCGTTGACTTTAAATGTCCTTACAAATTTAAATGTACCTCATAAAAACGTGCATAAAAAATATTCATCCATTTACGCATTTTGCGGCAAATTTCGTCTTCTGTAAGTTTCATACTTGAAGAAGAATTATAATTTATGTTCAAAAAATGATTCTATTTCCCGAAAAATTGAAAGGATCCCTGCCGACACATTGGCGATTAGGATTTTAAAACTGCAATTTGTATATTTTTAGTGTACGAAAAACCATCCATTTCTCTACAGTTTTAAAATGAGACTATATAGGTTTTTAAAATTTAGCAATGGATTTGAGCCATATTGCAAACTTTAAAAGCGACATTATTAACAGCAGAGATATGAGGTTTTATGAACGAGAATTTTACGGTTTTTAAATTCCTGTGATTAGAAACTGCCAAAAGTCGAATTACACCCTTCCTTAAAGTAGGAAATTTATAAAAGACCTAATGTGCCACCGAATGTGTACAAAAAGAATATTTTTATGGGATGATTTCTATGAGATATATTTCAATTTATGAGGCTACCTAAATTCAATTAGTAAAATTCGTGGTAATTTAGTAACCATTTTTACAGAGGGTAGTTTTTTGCAGGCGGCTGGATAGGAGTTCCTTCAAATGTCGCCACCTTGAAGTAACTGAATTATCATGGGATTATGCTCCATGGTGGTTAATATTACTACCCTACTCTTTTTGAATCGAAGATGCATTTCAGGATTTGGGTTAGCATTTCGTGAGTTAGCACATCTACTGCATGTGATTTAGCTCGCGCAGTTCAACCGACTTCGCGCTACAGAATACGCCTGAGAATTTAAATTTCCGTCATCTGTTAAAGATAAAAAGAGTAGTAAAGTATGAAAAAGTTGTGACTTGCATAGAAAAAGCAAGCATCATTTTTGACTCTACATCATCTGGTATGCGTTTGTTTTGGAGAGGGCAAGCGGCGTGGACTCACGGTCGAAATCGAAAGGGGGACTCGACCAAGCGTTTAACCAAGCCCCCGGGCGTGATACGCGCACGAAGTTAGACGGCCGACCGGCGTGCACTGCAGCGCCGAGCACGTGCAGGTGGCCTTGCTCACGCGTCCGGCCCAATCAATAGCTGGTCGAACATTCAAGACTTTCGCAGGGAAAATAGCGCACACGCGATGATCAATCCGCGACCAGCATGCCATCGGCAGGAACGTTCTGAAACGCTCTCAACACTGGCACGCCATTGGCCGGAATATTCTGGAAAGCACGGGGGCAGACTGCAGAGATAAGGCCGCTTTCTGACAAGTTGTAACATCTGGTGTACGCAGACTGCCAATAAGGTGCTTGTTCTCCGAACCGGCTGCGGAAACCCCTTGCGAACGACGAAGCTGACATACGAATTGATGATTTGCCAAGAGGTCCGCGCGAAAAGATCTGGATACCTGACCCACAGGAATTATTTGAGTGCAGAAGTCTGCTGGCCTAGCTGAGCTTTTAAAACCTCTACGGAGTGTGATGAAATTCTCGATGGGCGCCTACCAAGAATTCTAACCGGACGACAATTAGGGACAGTCAGCTCGCATCTGGAATGATATGCAAATTATCCAATATTAACCCGGCCGAGCCCTCTAATAATACCGAATATTAAATTAAATTATTTGTGTTAGATATGTCCGTCTGTCAATGAGGATGGCATAGGAATTCTGCGTTAAAAAATGTCTGACATTTTCGGTGAAATCAAGCGAGGAGCTTCCTGGTCGCTCCATTTCACAAATATGTGATGCATTTGAAGTGCGGTCAAAACAGATTTGTTCGGTTTCTGCTTGTATTTCTAAGATGAGTAGTCTTAGAATTAAACTCACGAATTATCAACCTACTTTCAAATTAACATCCGGCTCTGATCTTTCGGGAATATACTATTTTTTCACAGAGATTAGAGACTTTTAGTTTCATTTTGATTAATCTGTGCGGAATGGAGTGTCATAATTACTTACATAGCTTTCTTAATAGCATTTGGTCGAATTTTTTCCGGCGTATTTCTAATATCTGTCGATAAATTGCTGCAAAGGTGACAAAATTATTCAGATCCTTCAACGTTCCAATGACAGTGTCATCACGTGACGCGAGCTGACCAAGTGATGAAGTTCTGTGAACGCAGTGAAGAGATGCACAGATGTGGATCGGCACGGGAAGGGATATATGCGACGGACGAGGAGAATGGCCAATAAGAATTGCAGATTCAGGACCAAGAGTATGCTGAAAGGGTTACTAGACAGCTGCAAGACGAGTTATGCGGCCGTCAGCATCCGAACAGTTTATCAAACCAGACATAGACGACGTCTTCCTATGTACAGACGGGTATGGCACAGTCATAAAAGTAACGCATGCGGAACGACGGGACCTGCAGTATGCACTCGACAAAACATAAGCATTTGCAGGAGGGAGTCAAGACACTTTATCAGGTCCCTTATACCTACCTTGTTTGTCCTTTTTCCAGGAACGAACACAACTATAGAAGAGGTGGAAGAATCAACAACCAATGAGAGTACTACCCCTGGTAAGGCATTCTGCTCACAAATGACATTTGAGCATAATACTAGTTTCCTGTGTTGCATCATCTTTACTCCAACATGTGTATCCTGAATAATGCTCGATAATGTAGCACAGAAGTACATTTGTGTGTATTTTAAATCCCAGAGGAGAGCAGTAGCAGCAGCAGCAGCAGCGATGAATGGACGACTGAAGTTGAATCCACGACACAACTGGAAGACACTTCTTCTGCAACTGGTAATTTCAGAACCCACGCAGATGATCAAATACATTGTTTTATTTTTTGCGGGGGAGTTGTACTAACTAGAAGCATGTTCGCCCAGCATCGAGCGTGGTCCCGTGCACGGTGTGGTATAACTGACAATCTAAACTTGCATGCATCGAGCGCGGTGGTTAGAGAAGTGATTTTTGGGATAATCCAGCAGTGGAATGCGTTATGTGTCACCTTCATATGCTCCACGGATTGGGAAGAATGTATGTGTTATATGGCAGTAGCATTTTGACCTCAAACGTTCTGTGATTTGGCTGACCAGTTTTAGCTGAATTGGATTAGCTCTATTGGCATAAACCGTCGCGTAGATGTCTGAGAAATAAAATGTTTGTCCTGTAGTGGAGGGGTGAATATGCGATCAGTTTGCTGAAATACGGTTTAATTATATGCGTATGTGCATCATTGTGATCCTCCTCCTGCTCCTCTTCCTCCTCTTCCTCCCCATCATCATCATCGTCATCATCATCATCATCATCATCATCATCATCATCATCATCCTCATCATCATCGTTGTGGTGGTGATCATGATAATAGCGATCATAATAATAATAGTGATCATCATCATCATCATCATCATCATCATCATCATCATCATCAGAGAATTCTATTGTTGGAACACTGAGCAGAGGAATGCGTTGCGGGGCACTTTCATATTCTCAGGCGGAAAAGGGGAAATAGCATGCGTTATTTCTCAGAAGCATTTTGACGTAAATTTTTTTGCGATTTTGTTGGGCTGTTGTAGTTGAATTCAATTAGCTCCATCAGATTAACCCTTTGTGCAGATGCACGAGGCGTTAAATGTTTGCCATGTAGGTAAAGTGAACAAAATCACCAGTCTTCTGGAGTGCAAAAAGATCATCTCCAGATTTGCATCATCATCATCATCATCATCATCATCATCATCATCATCATCATCATCATCATCATCATCATCATCATCATCATCATCATCATCATCATCATCAGCATAATCAGCATAACCAGCATAATCAGCATCGTCACCACCACCACCACCACCCCCCACCACCATGTTTATAAACCAGCCTCATCGGAGATCTAAAAGCCACTTCTCCCTCCCTCCTCGTCCTTCTCCTCTCCCTGATCCTCCCTTTTCATTATTATCATCATCATCATCAGCAACAGCAGCAGCAGCCGCAGCAGCAGCCTCATCAGCACCATCATCATCACTATCGTCGCATTTGTTTTACACTATTTGTTGCGAACTATGTAACATGGACCCTGGTTTAAACCGGTGAAGTAATATCCAGCCCAGCAGACTGTCAGTGCTCGCTGGAGACCGCTGTCTCATATGCCCGGCAGTGCTTGAATCGTGATATTTTGTTCCTAAAGCATATTTGTGCATATTTTGAAACACAGAGGAAAGCAACAGCAGCAGCAGCGATATGCCATCGACTGAGCCGGAATCCACAACGCAGTCGGGAGACACCTCTGCTACAACTGGTAAACCATGATCGCGCACAGTTACTTAAGCATCCATTTTGCAAGTAGTATTCGTGCATTCCTCTCTGCACGTCTTTTTGTTTTTTTTATCGTTAAATAATTTTCTCTTTTTTTGGCAGCGCTCCTCTCAGTACACGTTTCTTTATGATTCTTTATTTTGATTTTAACGCGTTCTTGAAGTCATACTAGAAATTAGGGAAAGCTTTCGAATAGCCGTTTTGTACACTGGTCGCGCAAATAACGGCCTTCACAGGCTCTATCCCCCGATGTGCTTCGATGAACCTGGATCCGATTGAAGAGCGTCTTTATACAAGTTTGTTTTTGAGTCACCGGTTGATTGCTTGGAAAACTGAGAAACTGTGAAATGTTCGTTGGCCTCCTACAAACCATCGTTTCAGGTTTGCCGTTTAGGTTTCATCTGACGAAAACATCCCGGAAGTGCAACGACTGCTCCTGTTCCTTTTCCCTCGTAAATTGTATATCAGGGGAGACTGCGTTGAGCAGGCTGTGGAAATGTGGTAACATGTCCTTCTTTACGAAAAAACAGACGTGTCGTCTACGTAAAGGCGTCAAAATACCGGGTCATGATGGATGAAGGCAATTTCTTCTAACTCCTGTAAGAGCAGTTCTACCCCGAAATCGGAGACCAGTGAGGCCGCTAGACCTCCTCTTATCTCTTCGTAGATCTCCTCAGAAAAAAATCGAAGAACGTTTTTTTGGCAGAATTCAAACATGCTTATGAGGTGCTCGATTCTGAGTGCACTTTGAGCCTCGTTGTACGGCTCTTAAAATCTCTTACCCCAGATTTCGAGTGCCACGCTTGTTGGGGTGGATGGGAATGACGACCTCGCATCGAAGTAAACCATGGTCTTGTCCGATTGAATCCTCCGACATCGGAGGCCTTTGAGGAACTGAGAGGCTGATCGAACTGAGGTGGTCGAATTGCCTTGGAGGAACTTCAGTTTTGAGGGCATCCACTTTCTGAAACTACAGGAGTGGCTACATTTTAGGGAGACATTTTCCGGCATGGGGGCATTTTTATTTTCTGCTAAACGGCTATCCTAAAGCATTTATAAGTCGCTGCGGACGCGGTTGACCATAGAGGACCTTATCATTAACACCACTAACGATATGGTATCCTCTGCTGTACACTAAGGACGTTTCAGAAGCAACCAAACGCTTTGCTGCGGAGTCAGATGTTAGAATTGCACACTACCCGAAGCCACCATGTGGAGTAAAGTCATGACAACGAAAAATCGATTAAATCCTGAGAAGCAATTTGGAGTGCTGTATCTCATCCCGTGTCAAGACTGTGCTTGTATTAACACAGCCAGACAGAACGCATGCTCAAATCGCGCATACACGAACATAAGCCGGGTGAGCGATGAGGCGACAAAGTATCATAAGTGGCTGACCACACCTGCGAAACTGGCATGAGTTTAACTTCGCAGTCACCAAAAAACGTCTACTCCGGAAACAAAATAGGCTAAGAACTGACTGGAGCCTGGGCTTCAGACGAGAACTCTGTCAGCTGATTTTTCGATCTGGCGCTGGCCTACAGAGCCCTGCGCAGTCACCTCCAATCATACACCGCATAACTGCTGCTTATTCTGTCGCTGTTACTGTTGCTGATTATAGAATCCTTGGCTAGTTCTAAAGCTCAGAACCACAAACAGAATGTTCCGGTGCTCGAATACCCTTCCCTCTCACTTATAGTCATGTAGGTTTTGCCCAATTTTGCTGTATACATGAACCCTGATTTGGAATCGCGAAATACCCTGCCTAGTCGATTTAAAATGCGGACTGGAGACTGAACGGCATCTATTATGCCTATCATTGCTTGGATCGTTTCGTAGAGCAAAAAAGATAGGGGGACGAATGAGCGCAATCATCAGGCAAGTGACCTGACAGATTCTACGGACCGTTGTAGGAAGGCCACGGAATGAAGGCCACTGGGATTAACGGCCTTCGTTGTTCCACGAGTTGACTAATTGTTTATTCATGCGGAATATGTTAGCATCTGCAATTTGGAGCCCGGTATTCGCACAGCCAGTTGGTACTGGTGACTTCTCATCTGCAGTTCTCGACCAATTACCTTAACCTATTTATCGAGTTTGAAGTTGCATTTTAGATAGATGCGAGATTAAACCGCACGTGTGCATTTTCTAACACAGAGCAAAACATCAGCTATGAAACAACGGGTGAACTGGAATCAACAACGGAAATAGAAGACAACTTTTCCGAAAGCGGTGTGTTGATATTTATCCCAAAGGTTATATGGGTTATTTCCCTTTTTCTCCAGGGAGAAAGCGGTACGAGCTAAAGACCAATAGTAGAGTCTTAATGACCTCGAAGATAATGTGTAATGCATGACTGAATGATTTTTTATCGGAATAAGAAATTCTGATTACTGCGTGTGTTGTACAAGAAAGACCTGACAAAATCCACCTAACAAATGGGGGATAATGTTGAGACGAATAAGGTCGTACAATGCGTTTGGAGGGATAGATGTTTGTTTGAATTTGCGATCCGGCATAGTAAGAAGCATTGTTGCATCAGTTGATTGCTGCTCCTTGATTGCAAATAACGGAAATATTGGAGGAATTCCGGTTCATTGACTAGCATAACACATTTATCGTTGCAATACGGTAAAATTGACGGGAGAACCGCGTGATTAAAAAGTGATTTTGCTCTTCCCACGAAGAACTCAGCATACTCCACCTATTATTATGCACTTTCAACTGTCGTACACTCAGCACGCCTTTTCTGTGTTTGTATATGAAGACGGGTGTGACTACGTGGGATTTGTAGGACTTAACAACTCCTGATAATACTACCGTTGGCACAATATTTAATTGAAGCACAGAATAAGACATTTTTCCTTTTTGACGTGTTTCCTTCTCTCTGACCTACAAACGCATCCAGTAGCTAGAGTGATGCCTTGGTATTAAAGCGCGTTCGTGTACTCACAAACCTCAACGTAAAGCCGCGGTTGAAAATGACCTCTGAAATCCAAAAACTACCTCCAAAAATACTTACTTTTAAACCCTAGAGTGACTCAAGCACGCTGCATATACATCAAATTTTTCTAGAACTTGGCTGCCAAAAACGAAGTGTAAACAGTGCAGACTAATTTTGCATAGTCACAAAGGCAGATGCACGACTGGACTCAACAAAATAGAGGAGGGCGTTGAAGGATATGTTGCGGATACGTGGCAAGGACGCATCATAAGTCTGCATTGGGAACTTTCAAATCCTCAAGAAAAATGTATTATACCTCAGCACCCTGTAGACGTCCATTCGAAAACTGTTCGTTCCATTAAAATAATTCATGTTTATTTATAGAAAGTGAGAAAACCTTTTAACGTCAGAATCGAACCTCCTTGGCTATTTTATTTTTGGAGATAGTAGTGACATGAGTGTTAGGGGAATCCGGCATTTTCTTCATCCTTTTGCCTAGTTAGTGGCTTGAGTGTTAGGAAAAGCCTGCATTTTCTTCACCCTTTTGCATTGTTAGAGGAAGCTAATAAATATATCAGATATGCACGATACATCAGTTTGTACGTATGTTTGCGTGGGAGTTATATTTCAGTGTATGAGGTGAGTTTCCTGATAGTTATATTTGTAATACTTCATTTTCAAGAAAATAAAACTTTAAACGCTAAATTAACAATCGGCTTGCATTAGCATAACCACTGCCCTGAAATAGATCGATAAAGCAATTCCATATTAAAAAGATATATTGGATGTGTGTTGACCAATCACGTAGTAAAAACAATCATAACCAGGTGGAATATAGATGCTCTCGCAAAGTTTTGACGTTATGATTTGCCTACAAAGTCTCCGTTTGGCCAAACGTTTCCCAAAAATAACGGTGGAATTTATTGAGACGTCCTGACTTTCGTTGGCACTTTGACTTGGCTAAAAATCACGCCTGGACTAAACTCGGTCCAACCGATGAATAAAGTACATCCACATCTTTTGTAAATCGCAGGACACTACGACATGGAGGATCACATTGACTTAGGCGCTGAGGAATGTGAGTTTGTATAGATCTTGAAAATCTTATAAACAATGACAAACAGCAGTCGGAGGGCATTGCTGTAACCTTCTATATCTAATTATTTTAGGGTGGGATAAGGTACAGCTGGACGACGACGTGTACCTGCAATGCTCAGGCAAGAATTATTAAACAAATTATCGATAAAGTCGACGGACATAAAACTGAAACATCTATAAAGAAATAAATCAAAACCCGTCGGAATCAAGCGTCGAATGAATTTTAAAAACGTACAATCATGAGGTTCATTAAACCTGCACACTATAACCAGTACCTCCAGCAGACAAAGATTTGAAATAGCTGGAGCTGGTGATCAGCTTTTTAGGAGTGGACAAAAATATCCGGTAGTTTAGGACATTTCAGTTTTTGCTCAACAGTCCTGGGTACTTTGCCCTGACTGCGTAAGCAACATTATGACACCAAGGCATTTTGACTCTGGCGCTAAAATGACAGCCAGTAATGCATACTCCTTCTCAAGGCACAATATGAAACGGTTAGCGTTGGAACTGAGGTGCAATTAATAACCTCATTTCAACTGATGCATTGTGCACAAATGTGTAGACGAACAGCATACTGCATAAAGCACGCAAACATGGGTTCATTTAGTGATCGTACACTCTTGTAAGTTTTTGCGTTTTACCTGTTCGCAAAAGGAACATCATGGTTCTTCCTTTTTGCACAAAGAGGGTCTGAAACGAAAAATTGCGAGGAACCACATGAAGCCGATTGAAGTCCAAAATTTACTTGCTAGATCTAATGTGGTTTTTCCTCTTTGTGGAACAACTAGTGCAGTAAAGCAGCCCATCATTAAATATGTCGGCCGTAACGTGCGTTTTTTGTGCAGCCGAGTACTTAATGATCGCGCTGCTTAGCACAGCGGACATTTGCTACTTAAACTGAGTGTGGTTAAACCACATAACTTATAAGGTATTTCTTAATAAATGGTTTAAATCAGCAAGAAATGCTGTGCAATATTGGTAATCTCACATCAGTTTCAAAAAAGTGCCGGTGTGGTAATTTTAGTGGAGGTCTGTAAAATTCTTTAAATTTGTTTTCGCATTCAAATATTTGTTGGGATTGGATTACACTTTACACGAAATGGTAAGACTATACAACATTACGTAACTTCTCTTGGGATTTAGCTACGTTCGGCAACAAAAATTCTACACGTGTGGACACACCCTCTATCAGTGAGTCTGAACTGACGCACTTGCATTTCTAATTGATTCCTCAGAACTACTCCAAATCAGTGTCTACTTGTATTCGCTCAACTTCATATTTTTTGTTAATTTCATTTGGTTTGTCATTACCAAAACTCCATTTTAGTACCGGAAATCTATGGAATAGACGAAGTGAACTTTTCTGGCCCAGAATGTATGTCGGCACATTTGCGAGTAGATATAAAGAGTCTGAGACTATATCCGCTTACAAAAATGCGCATGTTCATGCATTCTAGGGAATACAGAGGTGAAAGATGACGAGGACTTCGACAGTGTTTGCGAAAGTAAGTTCCTCTTCTCTGTCGTGAACGTTGTTCGTCTGTTCATTAGTCAGTGTGGCGGAAAGGGCCATGCATCTGTTGTCATATTTTGTCTTTATTTTAAAGGCAGATGCATCTTAAACAGAGTGTAAGGATGCATAAAACGATGCGGTATTGCTTAGATCAATTTTAAGTGAATAATACTGCCCGGCGATAGACGTAGAATCAGTAATCTTGGAAAATGTCCTATGCTGATTAGTACAGCTCAGCAAGCGAGTAATCAAACTACAAGGCATCCAGCGGCATTGTCGTTGATAAAATAGCTCAGAAAGGTTACCAGACATTTGAAAATATATTTCCGACTCGAAAAGATCACCTACAGTACCTGTGCTAACTCATGAAATGCCGAGGTCAAAATTATAGTGGACAATGTAGTGTATTTTTGGTGTCGTTATTTGTGTTTATTTGGTTGAAATAAGGACGAAATGACCGTTTTCTGAAGGAAAGTTTGATACGGATCTGTATATTAAATAGAAAACGGGCCGGATTAAGGCGAAATCGGAGGATTCCTGATATTCAAGCAGTTTCCTACGCTATTAAAGCTTTCGGATGGAAATTCTTTGTGTAANCTGCAGCGGCGGAAGGCCATGATTAAGCCATATTTAAGTAGAAAACTAATTAGAGAACGGCTTTTATTTGCTAAGAATTATATTGAATACAGATCTTCATTTTGGAAGAGCATTTTCTTCTGCGATGAGGTTCTATTTTTAGACAAGCCTACGAAGTCGCTCCAAACTGTCATATGTGGAAAGAACTTCCCAAGAGAACATACTACACCGACGGCAACATTCAAGAACTGTCGGCGGATGATGGTTTGGATGGCGATTAAATTCGGTGAGCGGCCTGTCTGGCGGTCAACATCCGACACCATCAACAGCAAGGTGTTCATTGCAATTGTCAAGGATGCTTTCGGCTACAACGGCATAAGTCGGCGCCGAATGGATACTGTAATTTTGCAGGACAATGCACCTGTCCACCGCTCTAAAGAGGTACGAATTTGATGCCGCTTGCAAACATAATCTAACATTTTAGACAACAACCACGCTCTCCGCAATTGGCCTCCAATCCATTTTCATCCCGGCCAACAGTCCCGACCTTAATCCCATCGAAAATCTTTTTGGAATAGTCAAAAGAAATTGGCACAAAGCTAAGAAGACTCTTTCAATGCAGGAAAAATTGGATTTAATACTCAATAATTACATTTTACAATCCACCATAGATAACCTTGTCATGTCTATGTCGGATAGACTTTCCGCTGTTATTAATTCGAATGGACAATCTACAAAGTACTAATTTTTTGTATCTGTTTCTGTCCTTAATTATTTTTGACCTTTTATGCGCCCTCCTCCTTTATACGTCCTCATACGTAGCCTTTATTAACTTGGTTGTAATATAGGCGTTTCTCGAAAATGTGACTTTTGTCGAAAATTATTTATTTTTATCTCAGTAAATAGTATTTTCTTAACCAAACTTTGCTTTATTTCTTTGGCACATCGTTTATTTTCCGCTATGAGACTTTGGGAGCCGTAGTGTTTACCGATTTTGCGTTAAAGGCGTTAACCTGTGTTAATTCGTGACATTTCATGAGTTAGCACAGGGTTGCAATATTGATTACCATACAAAATACTCCCAAGATATTATGGTCACTTCAAAACGCCGTCTTTGGAGGAAATACCCGGTGGCCGGCAAAATCTATACAAATGGTCTACAGTAGTAGTATGAATTTTTCTCGTTGACATTCGATGACAGCATGCATAAAAATACTTGTTCTTTTACTCGTGTGGTAGAAAATTACGTTGTTCGTCAAATTTTATACTTGGAGGAAAGATATAAATCGGTTTTAAGAAAGTTTCTACTTATTAGATTTTTTAGACAGTGAAATGGCCGTTCGTAAAACGTCAGGTCTCTGAGCTTACTAGTGTTGCTTGCAAAGTTTGCGATGTAGTTCAAATCCATGGCTTAATTTCATGAACCCCATAGGGTCACCCCTCAGTAGCATATATAAATATATGGGTTTTGCATACACGGAAAATATGCAGTTTGCAGTAAATAAACCTTGAATGCAAATGAAAGTTCAAGTTGGATTTAAATCATTGGGCATTGTAAAAATTTCAAAGCCAAACTTTATCCTTAATTGAAGCATAAAATTAGAAGAAAACGTAACTACCTACCACATGACTAAAGGAATGATCAGTTTATGCACGTTTTCCTTGGAGTATATTGGAATTTATAAAGATTTCAGAAGTAATTGAGAGAAATGCATGCTGCTTAAGTAGTCATTTTTACAGAGCGTGGTTTTCGCAGTCGACCGAAAGGTAATTCGTTCAGAAACCGACATCCAGAATTGTACTGGGATTATGCTGCATGCTCTTTACTATTACAAACCTAACTGCATTAGTCTACTGTCCGAGTCGGTAAAGGCACTTCAATATTTTGCTTAACATTTCATGAGTTAACACGCCAACTGTATTTGAAAGAACGATTCGCCAAAAGCCAGCCTGCAGTTTTAGGACAAATGATACTGAAATTGTGTTCTCCGAATCAGTAATAAACCGCGCCGGAGTAGAATGTTTTAGCCTAAAATATGCATTATCGGTTCAGTTATATAGTGTTTCTGCTGTGCATGAGTAATTTGGCTGACATTTTTCGTCAGGAAGATCGCGATGAATTACTAATTGATATGACAAGATCCTGAATAATTTCCTGTAAAAATGTCTTTTGACCAAAAGGTTAAGCGGGTATAATTGTCTACTACATGAATACAAGAAAGACTATTTTTATATGCTGTCCGTAAAAATACATTTAAATTTAAATTGTTGTCCAACATTAGAGGGGAAAATTTATGCTGCATAATAAGACCTTTTGTGGATAATGTGGCTTTTAGCCGGTGAGAAGCTAATGGTGTGGCCGAAACGTTTACGAATTTTATTGTACGTTTGGCATTACAACCCTACTTAAGTAACCTGCCCGAATCGAAGAAAACCTGCGGATTTCTTCGCTACGGAGTACATGCCACAGAAGTAACGGACGTGGACACATTTAATAGTGCTTGCTTGATTAAGCATAGGTGATTTCCCCACCAATGTTTGTGGTAAAGACAGAGATTTGCATTTTCCAGTCTGGTACTTGATGACAGTGCCGATTTAAGATAATTCCCTAGCCTTTCATACAATATTTACTGACACCTGCCAGTCAAGCCTGGCACTGCTAGGTAGACGTTAGAGTAGATACTACTGCCTTGACTTGGTAGTCAGTCATCAGAGAAGATGTTCTCGAGTTTCTTATCATTGAAATTGGAATCCACTCAGACTTCTTTGCACACTGACCTGGGCAAAGTTACTTCATTTCAACCTTAGACACATAGTTATCGTGTATATCATCCCCCGAGGAAGACAAAGAAGAAAAATCGATTTCATGGACCAGGTAGTATTCCAACTGACGTTTCGGAAACACACTCGTTTCCATCATCAGAGTCGTCCGCTGACGTTTCCTGCTGGCCTTGATCCGTTCAGTCTTGCCGCCTGCCTCGTATTATAACCGTATTATAACCGTTTGTTGACTAGCCTGCTTTCCGTTGGCTGATTGTCGCCTCCCTGATCTCAGCCATTGGCGGACTGGCGTGGCTTGTGTCCCCCTCATGCCTAACGTGGTTGCCGCTGCGTCGGCGTGCTCGTTTGCCTCCCCCTCGGCAGACGGCGGGCTGATCGATCTTTGTTCCTCATGCGTGGTGTTTCCGGCCTCGCGAGTACGTCCGTGAGACGGTGTGCCGCGCCGGTCACGTGACATTCGGTCAGCGCCTTCTCCTCTCTCCGCGAGCGTCGGTGGTCGACCCCGTGTGACTCTTTTCATCCGTGCCATCGACCCTGCCTGGACTGACTCGAGTCTTGCGCGGAGCGCCTGGTAGGCTGGATGTAGGTCTATGGCTCGGTTGAGTGTGCCAGTCGAAGACCAACTTTCCAACATTAGTCTGGCCTTTTTATCATTGGCTCGGCCGATCACACTCGATTTCTCGAAGGCAAAACAGTGATTCCGCTTTAGTGTGTGGCCATACACCAACGACAGCTGATCCTTGCTGTTGATTGCTAGCTGATGCTCCTGCAATATTTTGCCGAGGCGTTTTCCCGTTTCACCAACATACCTGGCATCACAATCTTGGCATGGTATGCTGTAGACCACAGCTGATTGTTCTGTCACCGGGAGCGAGTCTTTGGGCCTCATAATTTGCTGTCTGATTGTTGATGCGGGTTTATAGGCCACACCAATTCCAAAAGGTTTCAGAATTCTCGAAGTTGCCTCTGAAACGTTCTTCACATAGGGGATCGAGAGCCAGAGCTTTGGTTTCTCCTCTTTCGACCGCCCCGAGTTATGCATATTTTCGAAAATTGATGAATTATAAACCAAATAAATAGAGGATTTATGGTAAAAGCAATTACTTTAATTGTGTTGCATTGTGAGCAAACGCAACTGCCCCATTTGCAGTAGTGTTTTCAGTTTAAACGGTCAGTTGCATAGTAAGGACGCCTGTAACCCACAATTGGACTGTTAGTGCTCAGAACAATATTGATACTAAACGCAACCCTTATTTAAGAAGTAAGAAATGTGCCCTTTTAAAGGGTATAAAACTCGCAGTTTTGGACTGCGCAGTATAACTACAAACAAAATATGTTTTTACATATAGTCGGCATCCGACCGCCCCAAAACAGTGCAGGGAAATCAGTCCGCAAAGTGGAAATCTCGAGAAAAACAATATTTCCTCAAATGCCATGTGGGGCTGGGGTATTTCTATTGAAACCTCCGCACATACTATAACTATCTTAATACAAGCATGGAACATAAAAAACGAATCTTGTAACAATCGGAAGGTGGCACTCAAAAATTCCGTTACCGATGAGAATAGGCCGGAGGACTGCATGAGTGTTCGTCCACAGGCTGATGAAAGGAATAAAATAAGGGTATTTTACTGAGGGCCAGAAAACTTTAAAAGCATACAATCCTAGACAGACGGCGTCAACAGTTAAGCAATTTCACAACATGGCAACTCTCGTCGGGGTCAAGTGCGGCGATGTTTTCAATCACGTACTCTGTGTTTATTGAACGAGCAGTTTTGAAAGCGGGGATATGAAGGCATAGGGTCATGAACAGCACAACGTAGAACGTTTCCTTTAGCCAACAGCATTTCGCTTTCAATCCTCTATTTAAAAAAGCAATTTGGCAGGGAATACGAGCTGGATCGACTTCATATTATCTGCTTCTTCAAGTAAATCCGACACCGCGCACATTTGTGTTGCCATGTAGTGATGAGGTTAAACTTTATCGTTCGAAAAGCCATTTCTGAAAAAACTTCTTAGTATTATTTATATTTATCCACGCAATCGAAGGCCCCACTCGTAAAACCCCTATTACCACCTGTCCCGTAAGACAGGCCGGATTTTTTTGGATGCCATCTTCCAATTGTTACCACGAATTTCTTGCAGAAGAGTAAAGACTTCCAGCTTGGATGGGATATGCTGGAGTGCTTGTCAAAACTCTTCTGTCAACGCCAGCTTACCAGCATGTTTACGTCGACGTGAAACTTTTTTATCAATCTGCCATTAGCATCAGACAGGTAGGTTTTTAAATATGAAAACATTTCGGTAAACAATGGGATAAAAGACCCAAATCAGCCTTATGTAGACCGTGTTTTTTAGCTGGTGTTTATACTTGTGGAATCTAGTTAAGTTCGGATGATTGGCAGTTGGATGCCGGAGTAAAGAAATAAAACACGAAGATCAACTGAGAATGAACTGAGAGCTAAGGATCAAGTTTCACATGCAAGTTAATTACGCGTGCATTTTATAGCATGTTCTCTGTCAGTTAATTATCATGCTACGTCCGATAGGATCTGGCTAGTTTTACGGCAGCTGAAAAATCTGCAAGTCGAACATTTCTGTCCTCCAGAAATGTGAGAAGTGCTCATTTATAATTAATATTACATATGCCAGTGAGCATTATTCAATGTAATGCAAGTTTCGGAGCCTTTTCCGAAAACTTCAGTGTTGAGGGAACTTCCAGGGAATCATGCATGTAATCGATTCGGCAAATGCTCCAGAAATAACCGGGCAAACGCAGTGGATTTTAGCTCATGTTGAAACTGCGCCTGCTCTTTGCATCGAATAGAAGGTTAAATTTGAATCAAAGAGTAAAATACTGTCCGCCTTGAAAGATTTCACCACCGATAAATATATCAAAATATAATCTAGGTATGACGCAGACAATAGCCGTAGCATTCAAATTCAGGAGGCATGCTGTTTGGTTAAAATATAACCAAAAACGCCTTCAAAATGCACATCGCCTGTTCGCTGCCAGTTTTCGCATTTCTCCACAACAGCAGACAGCATTGAAAGTTTTTGTATAAAGCACAGTCGGCTGACAAATGATCTCTAATCTACTCTGCATCGCAGACTGCATCAGACAACCGTCCTTATGGGTGCTACTGATTTCTTTCGAATGCTAAATAAGAATCCTACTAGTGGAGTACAGTCTGTTGAGTTCAGTAGTCAATTTTTAAGCCCCGCAGTATACCCAAAAATCAGACGATCAGGGAGAGACCCCGCACCTGGGTGTATAACCGGCGCGCCAACATTCAAGGATTTCAAAGAAAACTTACAGCATGAGATTTCCCATCAAGTGTACTGCTAAGTAGTGCTTTTTAAATCACTAGCGACAAAAGGGTTTTTATTTCCTTGCACAGCTGCGGTCCTTGCGAAAGGAGGAATAAGATTGCGCAGTAGTTGCTTTGAGAATTGTCTCTTGTGAACTCTGCCTGATAGACCTACCAGACCCCGGAAAGTGCTGTCGCCTTTGATGAGTTGCATTTCTGACCGCCATGCCCAGAAGTAAGTCTTCTCTCATTTCGGTTTGCAGGAACCACCAATGCAACAACGCCATCTTATTTGAACACAACCGCTTTTGAAATCGGTAAGCAACGACTTTACTCATGGTTTATAAAGGTGTATTTTGCAGTTAAATTATTTTTTTAAAAGACGTTCCAATCTCCAATTAACTTTCATAATCACAGCTCTACGAGATTCCGTAATCTATCTTTCAGAAGAGGAGGAACAGGTGACAGATGAAGTGGACTTCAACAGCTTAGAATGTATGTCGACATTTGTTCACTAGAGGGGAACCAAAATGGAACAATTTCCTTCTACACACTCCTGCTTTTCCTCTCGTCTTAGGGTCTAAAAAGGTTGACTTGAAGGATGTCTTCAGCACTATATGCGAAAGTACGTACATGTCGCATTCAATGACTCAATATGTATTTGTGACTACAATGCCCACAACTATTATTTTCCTCAATTTCGATTTCAGGAACCACCAATGCAACAACGCCATCATATTTGAACACAACCGCTTCCAAAACCGGTAATCAACGGCTTTTCTTATGGTTTATGAAGGTGTATTCTGAAACTTAATCAAATTGTGAAAACTAGTTCCACCTCTGATCCTCTTTCATCAGTGTATCTTTATGAGATTGCGCAATCTATCTTTTAGATGAAGACGAACAGGTGACAGACGAAGTCGACTTCAACAGCCCAGAATGTACGCCGAAATTTGTGTAATAGAGGAAAACCAAACTCCGACGATTCCCTTCTACACATTCCCGCTTCTTCTCCCGTTTTAGGGTCTAAAAAGGTTGACCTGGAGGATATTTTCAACACTGTATGCGAACGTACGTTTATCCCGCCCGAGCACGTTACAAAGTCGGCCATAATCAGTCTTGTTCTCAATTCTCGCTCGTAATCGTGTACACGACCTGATTTGTGGTTTTGTAGACCCATACATGAACCATGCATACATTTTGCATCTAAATCGCTTCTGAAGACCTTTTTAACCTAAAATTCTCTTTCAAACGCCCATTGCTATGAGATTACGTAATCTATTGCCTACAAGAGTAGGAATAGGCGACAGACGAGGTGGGTTTCAACAGCTGAGAATGTAAGTCGACATTGGTACAGTAGTGGAGAATCAGACTGAAATAATTTCCTTCTACGCATCCTTGATTCCTCTCTTCTTTTAGGTACTAAAAAGATGAGCTGAAAGATGTTCTCAGCACCGATTTCAAGCATACGTTTAGGCTCCTTGAGCTGGCTGCACAGTCGGCCACAATCGGCCTTCTTTTTTCTCCTGCTCGTGATCGTGTATACGGAGAGTTTTGTCTTTCGTAGTCCCATACAATAACCATCCTTCGAAAACGGAAAGTGTTGCTGTTGAGCGCAGCGTCGAACTGAGAATATTTTGATATTTGACTAGTAGCAGGCCTCTGTGCAGTAAGCGGGATGTAGGCCGACAATGCCCGATTAGAGTTCGGGTGGATTATACTGTTCAGACGGCCAAGTAAAATCAGCTGCCATGAAAGGTGATCTCAAATGCACTTACACGTCGAGAATGATGTTCTCCATCTTGGTACACATTCACACACCCACTATGTATGGAGGAACATCTTCGTTCATGTCCTGAACACACGACGCCACATATACAGGTAGTTGAGCTTTCAAATTTCTTGCATGGAAAATGTAGTTTATTGGGACAGATCATTTACATCGATCGTAGTGAAAATGCGATTCCCAGTTTGTAAATCAAAAGGGAATGAGGCGTTCACCGGGAGAGATGTATTGGGGGCTTGACGTTTTGGATGTCCACCAACTGCTCTGTCAACCGCCACATCAATTTGCCTCCCCCAATCAGACTTTACGAACCTTCTTAACGGGGGACAGTCATCGCGCGAGACAATTACGGCCGTCAACTATCTCCGCGGCCGACGAGGGCAGGGGCGATTCAGGTCACGGTGACATGCGGGTCGGATGCAGCCACACAGGCGCCATTGGCAGGACACACATCAAATAAAATGCGCCATATAAGGAGAGCTGTGCGCATGACTTCCCAGTCTCTGAAGATGAGCAGACGAAATGACTACTCGAAACGTCAGACTCCCAATACGCCTCTCCCGGTGAACGCCTCATTCTCTGTTGACAGATCACTTGCCTGACGCGCGCAACGGGAGCTTTTTATGTTGATGGTAAAATTGATATTCGAGGCGTCTATTTTTCCGAGTAAACTGTCGATACATGCGCCATGCAGCATTTTATCAGGGTGCGTAATTGTTTGCTATGCCATAATCAGCAAACCATTGCCCCTTCAGCCTATTATGCATTGGCAGTCCTCTGGCGCCTGCTTCTCTCCCGGCATATGTGCTTTCGCTCACGATGGGTATAGGGGTTGTCAGCATGCCTGCACAGTCGTCCTCACCCTTCGAAGCCATAGGGTTCTGTTTCCGGTTAAGGCTCAAGTCAAGTGTTTGTTTTGGACAAGGGGGTGCGGTGGTATGCCTAGGTGCGGGCCCGGCCGGGCCAACCACATGTGCCCTCTCCCCCCTCCGTTCTTCTTGACAAGTGGAAGCCTGTCCAACCTCCCCCTTGTCAAGGGCACTAGAAATGGCATGCATTTGATAGTCACACTTCTCATTCCGAAGGCATCATTACATAGATTGAGGAATCTGTAATGTACTATGAAGTCAAGTTAATCTCAACAATTTTGTTGAGTCAGGTGGGCGGTCACAATCTAGAACGCGGACTGCTGTCTTGCAAAATGTGCACGGGGTTGGCTTGCATGTAAGGCTGGTTATTGGGAGGCCGACTTGCTCTGAATCTACCTCACTGTTAAGATGACCACAGATAGGCGCCTGTTCTGGAAATGAAGAAATTGAGAAGTTTTTCTGAGGGTGAAACAAACGATCCGGTTTAATTCAAGAAAACCTCGAATCACACGATCATGCATGGGCGATAACGAACATATTAAGAGAAAGCAGTCGTTGCGAGAGAAATTAAGCACAGCGGATTTATTATTTGGTAGACATGGATGATTTGCTGTTAAAATAAACTTGTCATCTGGACCAGTTGACTTTTCGAACACATCCACCAAATGGTGTTTACTTTAGGCGCGGTGTCCGAGATGACATAGAGACAAACCATGATTGGCAGAATGTCATTACCGAGAAAGGCAAGGGAGACTAGAATGGCCATTTCTGGCTTATTAGCCGTCGTCAGCCAGTCATACCCAAAGCCCGAATTGTGGAACACCCGAGGCTCGAACTCGCGACCTGTTAGAAGGCCCCGCCTCTGACCACTGGGCCACAAACCCATTGCCCTGTCGGTTTCGATCGGTAATATACAATGGTAGGGGGCCCTCACCGATCGTTCTTACGGAACTCACTCTTTCCGTTGTGCTTACCACGTGTAGACACCGTCTAGCCCGAAGAACACATCCTTTGGCAAATGTAAACGAAGTTTGGCTTCAACGCACATGCATAGTAATCCGCAATGAGACTTGCCATGCATACGGTGTGTGTGGTCCCAAAAGGGTCACGCGGCAGATGCGTCGGACCAACACACAGGAGCCATATCTGATCTTGGTGGGCGTTGTCGGAGTGCGCATAATTACAAATGTCAATATTCGGGGTGCGATGGCAAGTCCAGGTACCGGCCCGCATCACCCACAGTGAGATCCCTGCCACCACCACTTCTGTCTTTGTTTAAAATCCTAGCCAAATTGTGTTTCGTTGTGTGGACCAGGCGGTTGGGTAATTGAGCGCCAAGGTGCGGACTCGTCCGCTACAGTGAGTGACCGATCTCATGAAATATTGGCTGAAATTCTGAAATGCGTTTTCTATTAGGAAGGATAACTTGGTCGTGGTTATAATACTGACTATTTTAAGGCATACTCTTTTAACATTTTGGACTCGACAGGATGTCGGCTATTAAATGCACTTCTTTTCAATCTATTCTAGAAAGTGTGTTCGGTAAAAAAAATGACTTCACATATTGCATGCATTTCCCCCATTGATTTTCGATAGTCTTGGAAATTCAAATATATTTCATAGGAACCATAAACAAAAATATGCTTTCTTTTAGTCAATCAATAGAGAATTACGTCTTCTTTATATTTTATACTTAAAGAATGAGTATAATTAGGTGTTAAAAAAGTTTTCTAATTGCTGAATAATTTGGAGCCTGATCATTCGATGCATTAGCGCTTAGTGATTTCACTCTACAAGGTGCATGCGTTCCACGTAAAGAAAATCACATATTTTTCTATGCCGTTAAAGAAATATCATAGAGAGTCCATAAAATATTGCAATGGATGCGGACCATGTTGAACATTTCATGAGGGGCAGTGACAAACGGCCAGGTACGATGCTATGTGAATGGACATTTCGCGTTCTTAAAAGGTCTCATAATTAGAAAATATTGTAAACTCTAATTATGCTCTTTTCTTAAGTATAAAATATAAAGAAGACGTAATTCTCTATTGATTGACTAGAAGAAAGCATATTTTTGTTTGTGGTTTCTAAAAAATATATTTGAATTTCCAAGACCATCGAAAATCAATCGGAAAGATGCCTGCTACATTAGTAGTCATTTTTTTACCGAGTACGCCTTCTAAAGGAGATTGAAAATAAGTGCATTTAAACGCCAACATCCTGCCGAGTCCGAAATGTTATAAGAGTATGCCTTAAGATAATCAGTATCACAACTGCGACCAAGCAATCCTTCTTTATAGAAGGCGCATTTCAGAATTTCAGCCAACATTTCATGAGATCGGTCACTCACTGTACATCCTTCTGTGCCATCCCTCGCGTCCGGCCTTCTTGACACCGGCCCCAGGTGGGGAGAAAGGCGTGCGGTAGATGCTGCGCATGCCCGCACTCGCTGTAAACTAACTCACGCGAAAGTTGCTGTGCCTGCTCCCACCTCGCTAGGGAGCATACGGTGGATATCTTCAGGCTTGGCGGTCAAATTGTTGCGCGGAGATCATGAAACTCAGGCGACTGTTCTCAGTTTCAAGGGAAAAATAGTGCCTCCAAAGAGGTTTCGATAATTTAAGTAGACATGTTGATAGGTGATCGCAGAACTGTTGTGCGTCAACGATGGCAACTCCCACAGCGTTACATGAACACTAGGCACTTATAAGGGTGTAAATAGGAGTAGTTCTAAAGGGAGCATACGATTTCATCGCTCTCTGACATTCGGTATCGCGAAGATTTGCTTTTGTTCATAATGGCAATGGCCAGAAACATAATGTGACCCGTTTTGAACTTCAGGCACCGTGGAATTCACGACGCCGGAATATTTGACCACAATTGGTAATGCAACTAGTGGTAATATTATGTTTTACTGCATCGACGTTTTTCATCTAGTTTATGAATTTCGCGTTAGAAAGGAGATTAATAAATTGTCCGTAAAAACATTGTTCATTTCCAGTTACTTTACGCGGTAGTTTTCTTGTCTTATCGTTAGGTGGTCCGTCCTGTAGAACGGTAACAACATGTGACAGACGATTTGGGTAGCGCTAGAAACGTCAGCTAAAATGTTGCCGATACAAGCGGACATGCGGGTTCCAGGAGTTAGTTGATAAGAAGAAGAGACGATCGCTGGAACAAGGGCTTTATTCGCCCGACGTTTCGGATGCTCAGCTTTACCCACGTTTCAGCCACTGTCGCTTCTTCGACTTTTTCTTTCCATCAGTTAACCTGTTGTCTATTCCCCCACCCTAGGGGCTAGGGTGGATAAACTAACGTCGGCTTTCAATAGTACTCGGAAACGCATGTTCATGTCGTTGGTGCTGTTTCACTGTGTGTCAAATTCTTCTTCAATCTTTTAAACGTTCACGACCATTGAACTGACATGCATCTGGCACCTAATTATTTTTAAGATGGGGCTTATTTTAGACGTCAACTTCGGTTTAGGTGAGACAGTGTATACTTAGTCTTTTGTTGATGCGTGCCTTTTACACGGGAGATGCGGGTATTAGTTAAAAAAGAATGACAAGTCACAGCTCATGCTCCAGGCTATACTATGACAAAAACACCATGTCTCAAATTTCATCGAGACATGACATCATGCAAATTTTTAACTTAGACAGCGCCCAGTTTTCAAGGGTAATTTTGCTCAAAATTATTTACTTCCAGTCCAATCCGCATGTAGAAATTAAAATCTACTGATTCGATTGACCACTTTCGTTTTGTGGTCAGCCTGGGTGTTACCAAAATTTCTCTAATTGGAGAAGCAAAGAAGTTCCCGATTCGTTTGAGTGTTGGCTTCTCCAGGCGTGATTCCCTGCCAAGTGTCCGTTCTTGTCAATTTTTCAGAATATGCAAACACCACGAGGGACTCACACTCGGACGCTACGGACTTGGGTATGTGAATATATTTATGACTACATATCTGCGTTTCCTTCCCAAAATGTTCATCATTCCCTATTTCCCCCGATCCTACCTTAAAACGACGTTCTTATATTTTTATATATTCCCACATTAATTAACTCACGCTTTTTAAATGTGAAATTCTTCGAATTTTTGTTATTTTCCGATGAATTATGCAGGTGGCCCTCTGTCTTGAGTGTCGACATTTATGCTATTTTGACCGTTTTAGCGCCCTATCCATCCGCTTCGTTTTGTTGGTTTCTGATGCTAAAAGTGAAACATTAAAAGTGCTCTTCGAATGTGGCATTAACATTTGAAAAAAGGGGTAAAAGAAATATCTCATATATAACTGGAATCAAAACAAAGCATATTCGGCATAGAAGAATTTGTGGACCAGGTATTTAGTTTGTAGAGGCCCTTACGAATGGATGGGCTCCAGGAATATTGTTTGATTTTTCAAATTTGCTAAGCCTCCACCATTTAGGCGGGTGACATTTTTTTATCTTAATTGCAAGAGTTAATGTTCGGTCTTCAAATGCGACTTTTCTTAAGAGCTGATAATCCCGGGGTTCTTGGACATTTAGGCGAAATTTGACCCAAAAGTTTAATGTCTTGTAATCAAAACTGATGCCCTTTCAGTACGATTTCTGCTAGAACATTTGATTAATCTCCGAACAATACTATGACTCTAAGCTTTCTTGATGTGCTTGCTGATGTAAATTTTAAGCAGAGGCGGTACTGGTTCAATTAAACACCAGCGAGAGTTGACCAGCTTTTTATCGCAAAATCCGTGTTAATGAACCTAAGCGTCCGGTCACATACCAACCAGAGGTATCTGCAAGATCCGAAGCTATGCTTTTCCTGTCCCAGCGCTGAAATCCGCAGTTGTCCGGTGGATGCTGAAATCGAGGGCATTCAACCTCGCAGAAAAATTGACTTCCATCAGTTCTGCTGCGGAAATGACCATAGCCGCAGTGGTTCGTCAGTACACGAGAAAACCGCTTCGCAAACACCCACAAAGCACTCGATATTCAATAAATTTCACTAACGCTTTTTGAAATTAACTGTTAAAAAATAAGTGTGTAACTTAGTCCTGCCAAAATAAACTCACCTTTTTTATTTTTCACGATATCTGGTTCATTTCAGACGAGGTGGACGAGGAGGAGGGGGAGGAGAAAGTGGAGAGAATTGAGTTTAACAAGAAAGATTGTAAGCATCATCGACTAACTCGCATTTACATCGTTAGATTACCTCTGTCCTTTTGCTCATCGTACCTTTCTTTTGAACACTAGGGCGGCTTAAAATAGGTCTTAATCAGACTGTCGAGCAGATTTGTAATGGTAAGTCCGTAGCGCTACATCTTTAGGATCGTTTCACACGTTTGGTTGACGCCCAAATTAAGTTACTTCTTGTGAAACACACAGAAACAACAACAGGTAAGCAAAATGCATTTAAACACACTTTGTTGCATTTTCCATATCTCTTTAATTAGAATCAATGACATAAGAGTTGTATTCTCATGTGCGCTTTGATAGGTCTGGTTTGTAAGTTAAATCGGTCATGATGAGAAGAAGCAACAGTTGCCTGTTCACTTATGGAGGCAGATCGTGTACGCACAAGAAAACGTCATTGTTCCCTTTACCGCAGGTTGCATGCCTATGTAAAAATAGATTGCTTTAATATTTACAAAGGCGCCTAATTCTACAACTGCATATACATTCCTCGAATCATTAAATGAAAAATGTTATTTGGAACGGCGAAAAATTAAAGTTTTTAAGACGACACCCACAAAATCATTCGGCGCATCTTAGATATTATCTGAATAATTTTGCTCGTTAAGAAACATCAACGACGGAGACAACAGAAGAGACGACAATAGAAACGACTACAGGATCATCAATAACAACAGAATCAACAACAACAACAACAGGATCAACAACATCTACAACATCATCCACAAGAAAAAGCACTACGAGGAAGATTAGTACGTACCTTGTTCGTTTGCAGAATTCCTGTCACGGCTATGTGGGTCGGCCATACATATACGGTCAAGGGGTTTCGTCCGAAAACCAGACTTTTAAAAATAACTCATAGCGAAATTTCAACAAGGTCTATTTGGCAGTTATGTCAGCAGATTTAAACCGCGCTATGTTTGAAAACAACTAAACCCTGTAAACCATCATTTCTGCTCAGAGTTCACTTCGTGCCCAGTTAATTTTGCGTGCAATAACAATTAAACATTTGCTCATGTGTTTGTATTTCAAGCTGTTTAGTCACCTGCGGTTGAATAGACCAAAATGAATGTTTTCTATTCAGTGGGAGTATTGCTCATAATTTGAGTAATATGACTCATTTATTCCTGTGTAAAATAACATTTTCTACCGCTAGAATGCAAATCTTCCTGAAGTTTTTAACTTGCAAGCCCTTGGCATTTGTTATATAAATTTCAAAGGACAAATTACTGATACAACTTAACTGATAGATAGTAGGGCTGGTTTTGTTATGTCGCCTCCTCAGCTTATCAACTGTAAGATTGTAAAATCGTCCCCATTAAAGAGGTCTCAACCGTCAAAGAACTTTTTTTATTTTCATAATTTGACAATTATGTCTTCACTTAACATTTATTGCAGCAGAAACTAGTGTATTTCAACCACACTTTCCATCTTTGCCTGTTGCCAGTTTGGAAAACACTGGGTGGATTAGAAGGGGACTCAGAAAGTGTTTTTGTGTACAGCTTGCTTAAAGGAATTGAAGACGTGTGTTAACACATATTTGTGCGGTCGTATGCCGCATCAAAACATGTGGCACATGTTAAGACACATGTGACCGATTATGTATCACAGGGCCATGTGGTCGAAATTCAATTCATATTCGACATTAACATGCTGAGCCCTGGATGACTTTTGTGCAAACATCTATGAATTACGTGAGCCTAGCGGTCATCTGGTGGATTCTAGGATGATTTCTTAGGAAACCCTGCTTGGCCAGTCAAATAACTGTAAAAGGTTTGGTGGATTCTAGACGTTGCAGTAGGTTAAACGATTAACCCGTCCCAAATGTGATCAAACTCACGTCTTCCGTTGGCGTCTTGAAGCTTACGTGGCTAGAGGGTTGGCTTGCTGTCATGGGTTCGAATCCCATCGAGACACAGAGTTTTGCACGATTTGGTCAATATCGGATTCCAAAACAGTTTCCTCAAAGAAAGAAACTTTTTTTTCGGTGCTTACAGTTACGGTTCATGCTTTTCCCATATACAAATCACTGCCTAAACCTGGTAACCCAAATTAAGCGCGTCACCGCTACATCCTAAGATACTTAATGTAGATTGAATTCCATAAGATCACCTACACAGTAGCATGCTGAAATTTGACTGGGCGTCATTTCTAATGAATGAATAGTTAACATCCTAAAGTTATTCTGCATACTCAGTTCGAACTTTCAGTTTGATAATTTTAACCAAAAACTAATCTTGGTTTTATACAACCTATGTTTTTGATAAGTCTCAACTTTCCTAAATTATATTCTTTATTAGTAGCATTCTACTGTGCCAAGAAAACTGCATCTAGAAATTATGTCTTGTCGACGGTTATTTGTCCACATGCACTACTAAACATGAAAAAAATTGTTCCTTTTTAAGCGACAAAGAAGCCTGCGGATGACGACGACGATGACGATGATGACAGTAACGACGCCAATGATATCGGGAACACAAATAGTTTCTGTGAGTTCAGCAATAACTGTGGTATCAGATAATATGTAGGCCTTTTGTAAATTCACGTCTTCCGTGTGTAGAATGGAGGTTTAAGGTATCCACGCTTGAGGGTCGCATTCATTAAACATCTAGAAGTGGGTACTATTTTGGTTTGAATAACAAAGCCTGAGATGGTCATGTTCGGCTTGTTAGTCGTCGTCAGCCAGCCATGCCCAAATACAAGAAATTTCGGCTTCCAAGGCTGGGCCTCGCGATCTGTTGATTAGGAGTCCAACGCCTCTAACCAATGAACCACAGGCTCGGTGACCCCTCGATCGCAATCGGCAATATGCAGTGATGGAGTCGGGCGCTCACCAATCGTTTTTTACAGAACTCATCGTCCCGTTGTTCCTTAGGGCTCCATCTCTCGATCCCAGCTAACAGTCGCACAGCGGCGTATGATATAGTCAGTATGTTATTACAAACAAAGGCAAAGGAGACCGGAATGGCTATTTCAGGCCTATTAGCCGGCGTCAGTCAGTCACTCTCAATCCCGAAGTGTGGAACACCTAAGGTTCGATCTCGTGAATTGATCGTTAGAGGGCCAACGCTTCTAACCAGTGAGCCACCGGCCTGTTTTCCTGACGGCGGTACGCACAGATCACGTTGAGAAACTTACTCGTCCCATTTTGCCTTGGGGTTTCCCGAGAGTCCTTCCAGCAGCCACAACCTCAGTGGGTTATGCTGTCCACCCAGCTTTTTCGCCGACTCCTTGGCCATTGACATCTGCTGTTCGCCAAACCTCTTGATTATAGGAGTGGTTTACAGCGTGTTCAAACCATCGACATCGGTTTTATATCCTGGGGCCGGGTATGGTTGGCTTACGGCGGCCCCAGTCTTCATTGTCTTTGTCGTTAAGAACCTATACAACGCGACTGTGTGACTGCTGGTTGCGGTCGAGAGAGAGCCTCAGAACGAAGCTGAACAAGTAACGCCGTTTTGCAATTGGTTCTCCCCTCCCCCATTACTGTATTAGCTTTAAACTATAAAAAATTACCGTGCTAAACGACATTTATTCCTAATATTTTAGCCAAAAAAGGTAAGTTGCACATATACATTTTCGGGATGTTTATGTTCTACATTAACTGAGTTTTCACCTATTTCATGGTAATATATATGGACATAATATTTTTACTATTACAGAACTATTCCCAATCAATGACATACAAATTTGAGTACAGAAGGGCGTACATTGAGTGACAACAATAAAGCATAAAAAATACCACGTGTGAAATACAGTTTAAATAATCCTGACATGTGTATATTAGAACAAATCGAACATATGCTCAACTTGAATTGTTGGAAAGACCGCATGAAAAATTCTTAACGTTAATAATGCTTGATTATGCAGTTTCTTTTGCAGACGCAGGTTAATTTTCATTGCTTCAGCAATCTATTACGTTCAGTAAAATGCTTAAGAACTGACCGCTAAATACCCAATCCTAAAGGGTTGTAAACATGACAAACTTATCAGCAGTTTGTTAAAGTAAGCACACTCTCCGGGTTTGAGGAGAGAGCCTAATATAAACGGATTTGGTCTCCATCTCAAAAACAATTTTAGGAGAGAAACTTGGTAGATAAGAATTAATAGTTAAAAATAATAATAAATAAATAATAATAAATAATAAATAAATAAATAATAAAAATAATAGTTAAAAATCGAAGCAAAGTTAAGCCTTTTATTTTTGAAAAGTGTGTGTGTTCACGATAGGGGTTGCTGACTTTTTGTCATTGAACTAGAAAAATAATGGACAGTCTGAAGGTATTTTACATATCTTACCATTTAGCTCAATTTATTTTTTTTCCATGTATTTTATGAAAACTTACTTAAAAATTTAACACAAATAACCCTTTTTCCCCAACAGTTCTTGATCAACTTAAGAGAGCGCTGAAAAAAATAGCAGAAAGTAAGTCTACTCCAATCAGCTCATGAAATATTTCTGTTCTCTCATCGCTTCCCCTTTTTCTCTACAATCACCTAACTCCCTTCCCCTTTTTGACCTTTAGAACTTTTCAAAAAGCTATTAAAAAGTAAGTACTCCGTCCACTTAGATGTCTCAGAGATTGAACATATCCTGTTATATGAATCATCGTGTGATCATATGCGTTTCGTCATCATTAGAAGCTTTTGGCGGCGGCGGTGGTGGCGGCGGCGGCGGTGGTGGTGGCGGAGGCGGTGGCGGTGGTGGAGGAGGAGGCGGTGGCGGTGGAGGATCAGGAGGTGGAGGAGGGGGAGGAACAGGAGGCGGAGTCGGCGGTGGGCTCGGTGGTGGACTCGGCGGAGGAATCGGCGGTGGACTTGTAGCTGGAGGTAATGAACAGAAGTGAAAGACAAGTTATGTGTAGCTTGTATTGCAGCAAGACGTCAAAGTCTAGGCATAAATCCATTTCGTCTCATGCAGATTTTATTTTGCGTTCAACAAGCAGTTTGAAGAAAAGGAGTTTTGCGAAATATTTGTCTGCGAACTTATTTCGGAGGTTGTCATAAGCAGACTTATCAAGTACACCAATTTTAAGACAGAAATTCGTCCCTATATCGTGCACTTTTTATCCCCAGCATCGCGGAGGAAAGCTGTGAGCATTTCATCTCAAACCCTTATCCCTCTACTCTGCTGAAGCGACTGTCATTCGGAATGTTGAAGCCCTCGGAATGCACAGTAATTAGGAGAAGTCGGTAATATGCATCCTACACTAAGATCGATTTGCGTATGCAAACGATGCATCAGGATAATATCCGACTGCATATGTCTTATGTTTAACTGTCGGGAAAATTCGTTAGACTAATCAGGCGGCTTCTCTATCGTGCAACATTGTTCGCTGTCTGTATCGACCGCCTACTATATTTAGATTGGCCGGGAGAGAGCATACTTGAACAAACGATAAACAGTAAAAAGTTCATTGCGTTTTATTTCCTTATTTTGCACTTCGGCGGTAAATACGTACAGTCAAACCGTTGACAAACTGCATATTACGCACATTAGGCTACCACAAATTGTCCTTACAGAAATATGATGCAAAAATGACGTGGGAATCAATTTCAGTTAACTGCAGGGTGCACATTAGAACTCCTATTCATCTGTGACTACGCAGATGGCCGTAGGATCCTGTCAGGGAACATTTCGTGGACAGGTTTCTTCAGTCAGTATTTTTTATTCTAACCCAAAAGAAACCGTCTTAGACGAGCGGTCGCAATGTGATGAGCCATGAGGTTTTATTTAAATAAATGAAACAATGGCACTCGGTCTGATTAGTCCTGACAGAGAAACTTGGAACCTCATATATGCGCCCGTATGACTGCTTGCTGAACAAAAATAGACGTTGCCCATTCAAAGTGATAATGGTTTTCAATATTGTTTGTTTTCTTATCTAATCATCCTTTTATGTATTTCTAAACTCCTAAGAAGCAACAGTCTCTTATGATTTTTTGTTCGCAAATCGGGATGTTTGACACTAAATCTTCCTTTTGCAGTCTACTTCAGGCCACCTGTGTAGAAAACAGGTTTTGAGCAGATAGTTATAACAGATTCTGACTGCTTCACGTATCATCGAAGGTCTTACAAATTTAAATATATTTTTAGGAAATCGTGCACTAAAATGTGCTTTATTTTACTCACTTGGTAGAATATCCCGTTTTCTTTATATTTTTTATTCGAAGAAAGGACTTCTTTCGATTTTCAAAAGTTCCTTGCTAGGAGATTTTTCAAAACCGCATAATGATCATTCAAGCAACTTTGTTCCTGTCCGTTTACAAATGTTCCTTATGAAATGTACAACATAGCCCGCATCCATGGCAAAATTTTATGAAATGTATGTTGAGGTTTTGAAAAAGGGACAATGGAATAAAGAAGGACCCCACTTAGCAATCAGCTGGCTGTTGATCGTGCCATACGCAAATTATGGTAAAGGGAGTTTTATGGGTTTGGCGGCACGCTAGACAGTAAGTTGACAAAGTGAACGAAAACACAAAAATTGCCTGGATTTAGGTCAAAAATCTTATCCTATGATATTGTATGACAACGGAAATGAAATTAGTAATCAGATAATAAATGAAAAGTAAATTCCACAACTAACTGGTGTTGTGTTCAGGTGTGAGGTTATGGGAAATAATCGTTGTTGGCAGTGTAATTTCTGCACCAGCGTGCAAACGTATGCCAAGATAAACCCCCATATGACAGGATCCACAGTCTACCGACAATTAAGTGGGGTCCTTCTCCATAGCATTGCCGAAAAAGTTTTCCGATTCCCGATTAATTTTGACCCATCTCAACATTTGCATTAACGCTTAGTAATGTTAGTCTACAAAGTGAATGCTTTCCTCATAAGCAAAATCGTATACTCCTCCATGCCTTTAACGTTTGCTGACTATGTTGTATATCTTGAGAGGAGCATCAATAAAACTATGGTACGATGATGTAAGAATGGACATTCTCCGGTCTTAAAAAAATTTCATAATTTAAAAGTACTTAAAAATGACGAATTTTCTTTCTGTGAGTACCAAATGTGGTGACAACGTGATTTCCTACCAAAGAGTGCTGCCCCACCCATACAACTCCCTTTACCATAAATCACGCATGACACGATCCATAATATACTGGCAGTTAAGGTGGGTCCTGCTCTATACCGTTGCCAAATACTCCTTTGAGAGGCATCTGTTTTTAGAAGAACATCAGCCATCGACATATGCACTTGCTCTAGCAAAACCCATTTCAATTGCTTGATTGCTGAAACGTATTTTTGTCTTCTTTTTTAGGAGGGGCATTTGCGGGTGGAGTTATAACTTTCCTTACAGGACTATTCGGAGGTAAAGTTTTCTTGCGTAGTGTGTGATAAGCTGCAGAGGCGTATTGTCCTGTCTCTCGAAAAAGAAAAAAAATTATGTTTTTTGCTAATATGCGGCGGCGGATTCATCGTACTACCCTTCATTTATCCAAAAACAAAACGTCCAGTGTACTTTGGTTTCGCCTTCCTCATTTATTTGTCGGCTAAGGCCGATGAAACAGAATGATAATAAAGGCAAACAGGCGAGTTCCAGGAGTCAATTCAAAGGACGGAGATTCGATCATTGGACGGACGTTTCGGATTCTTACTTGGACCCATCATGAAGTAACAAGCATAAACATATATGTTTTAGAATGGCTTAGGTTAATCTGCGCAAAATGGTTAAAACTGACTTTTTGCCCCTAAACTGCAAAAAAATGTCTTCTAAATAGAAGCCAGAAGACAACAAAATTTGCCCGTACATAAATGTTAGGGTTTATGGCTGACTGTTACTGTTCACCTTAGGTCAGTTAAGGTTATTTATGAGGGTTGTAGAAATCCCTTTTTATAACCTGTTTTTCTCTGTGTACGGCCGTCTTCTAAGTCTATGTTTAAACCAGTGGCAATGCGGCTAATTATTACCCTATTTTCCTACCTACAGCAGAAAATTTGAATTGTGTTTAAGGTTCCGCGCCAAATTGTTTCTATTGCGATCGAGACATCTGTGTACTTAGAGTCACAGCATAAATAAGTATGCAGACAGGAAAATAATTTCCGCAGAAACAACGAAAACTGCAGTAGCCATTTTCGGCCTGTTAGTCGTCACCCGCCAGTACTGTACACAGCCCCAGGATATGCATCCCATTAGACCCGATTTCCCGATCTGTTGGCTAAAAGTCCAATCCCCAGACCACTGAGTCTTGTCTCATCCCGTCGGTTGCGATCGGGGAGCGCTCATCAACTTGACCTCTATCGAGATGACAACGAACAAAGACTCAGGGGCTAGGGTTTGGTTGGCTGTTGACAGTTAATAAACCAGGCATCGTCATTGCAATCTTCCTTGTCTTAGTTGGTCATGCTATTCTGCCTATATGACTCCCCCTGCGCGGTTAATGGTGGAAAGAGAGGGAGGGCATAAAGGGAGGAGTTCATTCCCTAACATGGTCGATTCGCGCCCTCTTACCATTGCATAAATAATTTTCATTGTCGGGATGAGGAACAAATTTGATTTTGGCAATGCGTTTCTGATTTCGGTTTGGCCTATATTACACAGGATTTAGAACCAGTCAGAAAAATGTCGGACAGGTTTTGCTATTTACCTCAAATTTTTACCACTTCAGCTGTTTCGACTACAGTTACGACAGTCATCACAACTACAGGTAAACCCTATTTTTTCCCTTCTGTGGTGCTTTTATGCTTAAAACCTTTACATGGCGATCAATTCCTAAGTGTCACACAGCTTTTCATGACATGTCGTGTAGAAACAAAGCATATCAGCTTTTAAATTGCAAGTTTTTTTATTTTACTCGGCGGAGCAGGATTCGGAGGAGGATTCGGAGGAGGAGGAGGAGGAGGAGGAGGAGGAGGAGGGGGTGGTGGTGGTGGTGGTGGTGGTGGTGGTGGTGGTGGTGGTGGTGGTGGTGGTGGTGGTGGTGGTGGTGGTGGTGGTGGTGGAGTTGTGGCCATCCCACCGCCAGGTAAAGGAAGCAAAATTTCATTTCTTAAAAAGCATATCCTAATTTGCGTTCGTTGTGACATCCTGGTCCGAGCATGAAACGATGTTTTTGCGGGTCTAGTTAGGATTTCTTTCTCTTCAAAATTGCTTTTATGTATACTCCTAATAGGCTAAGCGAATTTCGCAGGCACCTAAGGATAGCTTGAATGTGCAAGGTACCAAAATAACTAAAGATAGCTCGGATATTGCAATTCTTAATGGCTGCTGACAGCTTAACTGTTACTTGGAAATACTCATACTTACCATTCCCCTTCATTTCATTCTGCCTTGGTCGATTAAAATGGATGTGTTCATCCGTTTGCAATTCCAGTTGATCCAGGTAATTGCCATAAACGTATCTGCATATTTATCTTTTTTTCTTAAGTAATATTTGCGCTAGCTAGATTTGCATGCCTGCTGCGGACCGACGCGGTTTGATTATCTACTGCTAGCCGAAGCCTGCCATTCATAGTTCTGATGAGCGGCTCATGTTCGCTCTCCCCCAACTATATACTTAAGCCTCATTTTATCCAGAAGTTAGAGTGTTGGCGAACGGCTCTGTCTGTCAGGAGACTTATGTCTACTTTATGTTGACCCAACTGTAAAAATCTCGGCGCCTCGATGAGCGTTAGTGCAGCCGACGATCTAGCCACCGGGAGACGTGAGTTTAATCATCTATGGGTCGAGTTGCTCGCGCAGCCTACTTCAACATATAGAATCCACCAAATTTAATAACGTTAGCTAACTGACCAAGCAAGATTTCCTAGGTCATTCCCCCGCGATCTACTAGATGACTACTAAGCTTGTGTAGTTAATGAGTTTTATTCAAAATCTCCCAAAACCTCAATGCCAAAGTCGCCTTTATTTGGTCAGTCATACCCACAAACGTCACCTGAGACGAGAGATACAAGCAGACGCACACGCAGCGAACAGGGCTTGCAGGCTCAGTCTATCAGATGATTCAAGGGCAGTGCCTGTAATCGGACGGCATTAGTACCTAGAAGCCCGGTAGACTTCTTAATCGTAATTCGTCTACCTATTTATGCAGGAGCTAGCGTCTACCGGTGCAGTGGCTTTCGATGCAGACAAGAGGGATAGGGGGCTCGGAGGATTAAGAGACGCTCAAGTTCTACTGAATGACAAG